GTCCAGGGCTGCCTGCAGGATCGCCTTCTCGCCGTCTCCTGCTGGCACTCTGAAACCTTTTCCTGAAGGGTGGCGAAAGTCCTCGAGCAGGGCCTGAATCTCGTCAGCCAAATCACCGTAGTCGGGAGGGGGCTTCGAGGGGCCTGTGGGGACCTCTGTAGGAACCTTTTGATATTTGACAATCCTTTGAACCAGTATGTCCTCGGTAGCGCTGCTCAAGGACATCACGACTGGCTTGTGCGGCGGTGTCATCGCATCCTCGTCTACCTCGATCCTCTCGAAGCTGAGGGCGAGTTGACGGCATACAATAAAGTAATCTATGACGGTCCTGTTGTCCCCGATGATGCAAGTCGCGGACACAGGTGCGTAAATTTCTCCTAGGTACTTGTGGGGCCTCATGTGCTCATGATGAGTCTCAGGGTTTACGTTGAAATCACCACCCGCGACAAAGGGAACTCCAGAGCCCAGTATATGAGACCCCAGGATCTTGGATAGAACCATGTTGGCCCTTCCAGGCCCAATGGAGTCCACCCAGTAGTTACTGTATAAACTGACAATCCCAAAACTCCGTGTTCTCAGGTAAGCGTGCACTATCCTCCCAGGAGCCAAGACACTACTAGAGACGGAAGATTGCCAAGAGTCTAAATGTCTACGAACTAGGATGGCCACCCCCCCCGAATTCCGATTCTCAGAGGTGACCAGGCAGGGATTCCAGTAGCTGGCCCACCCTTGGAGACTGAGAGTGTTCTGGACTTCTGGAATCTGAGCTACTCGGAGCCTGTGCTCCTGCAAAAACACTACCTCAGTGGTCCTCGGCACGCTGGAAAGAAAAAGTTTTGCCGTCTTCCATGAGGAAGTGTTGATGGTGATAAAAGTGAAACTGCTACCCACGAGAAGGTGGGGCTGACTTGGCCTGGGGCTCGGAGGGCCCTTCGGCCGCTCCTGCCTCGCGGCTGGTGGGCGATCTGGAGCGTGCCTCAGGGCCGTCACCTCCTCGCTCGCCTGCCGCTCGGCGTCGCTGCTGGGGAGCCTTGGCCACTGGGGCGGCCTTGGCTGCCGACACAGCCGCGCCGTCGCCTGCAAGCCCTCCGCCTCCTGGTGGAACTCCTGTCGCTGCCGTACTCGCTGGGCTCGCGGTAGCAGCGCGGCTCTCCGCCACTGGCTGAGGTTGGAGTAGTATCGTGAGCCTCTGGAAGATGTTCCCCAGCTCGGTCTGGTTGTCGTTGGCCATGGCGCTGACCTTACGCTCAACCGCTGCCAACAGTTCAGCTGCAGGAGTATCATCAAGACTGTGGGCCAAGCCTGGTACCTGCTCGGCTTCAGCTGAATCTGCGGTTGCCTCTGCCTTCTTCGCCTCCTCGATCTTGATGCGGGTCTCCTCGATGGCTGCTTGCTCTTGTTGCACAAGCTTTTCCTGCTGCTCGAGGTGTTGGCGAGCGTTGACCACTCGGAGCTGGTAGACTCGTAGCTGTTCTTCGTGTCGTTCAAGCTGCTTCTGATGCTTGATCCGTTTGTCTGATGCCTGCTGCAGCTGGGCGCTGATGGGCTTAGTAGCCGCGCGCGCCTCGCGCATTGACTGCAAGGACCCTGCCAGGGCCAGCTGCGCAGGTTGACCGATCGAACCCAACTTACGCATGATGTCCAGGGCCTGCTGGCAGATCTGGATCTGCTGCCCCGTGATGGGTGGGGCGGGGGCGGCGCCTGGGCCGACCTCGGCCTGGGCTGCGCCCGCTCCTCCTTCGGCCCCTGCGCCACCTGGGCGAGGGGGGCCTCCAGGAGCCTGCGGGAGGCCTGGGGGGCTGTCGGCGCCCGCCAAAGCCCCGCCGCTGCCGCCTCCACCGCCATGCTGAGCTCCGTCAGGTTGAGCTCCTCCGCGCAAACGTCGTCCTTTGGCTCCCTTGGACTTGGGCTTCTCCCCATCCGTCTCTTGGGTCTGCTTCTTGCCAGAGTAATGCTCGCCGCAGCGCCAGCACCAAGACAGATTCCACGAAACGGAGGCGACACAGCACTTGCAGGACCAGCTGTACGCCTTCGGGGAGGAGCTCCTCCCGGCCCAGGAAGCGCGCCAGGACATTGCGCAGAGAAACTGGGAGGAAAGGAAATCGTGACTGAACTAGCCTGCTGCCAGCAGGTCTGAAAAGGGCCCCAGGTTGCGCCAACCACCTTGAGCCAGAACGGCTTGAGCCAAAATGGCTACGGACCTCCTCCTCCTCCTCCTCCTCCTCCTCCTCCTCCTCCTCCCCCTCCTCCTCCTCCTCCTCCTCCTCCTCCTCCTCCTCCTCCTCCTCCTCCTCCTCCTCCTCCTTCTCCTCTGGCCGAGCCGAACAGGCAGGCTGGCCAGTGGCCGGGGGCGCCCGCCTCCTCCGCCCCCCCCTCCTCCCCCCCCCCTCCACCTCCCCCCCCCCATCCCTGCTTCTCCGGCCGAGCTGAGAAGGCGCGCGGGAGAGTATTTTATTAGGCGGGCGCGCCACCGCCAGCTCACGAACCGGGCGAATAACCGCCCCCGCCAGCAGCGGGCGAGTCTAAACGCACAACAAACTCTTTCAGGAAACCCTGGCGCGCCCCAGGTTAACTCTGCGAAGGCCAGGAGGCATTGGAGGCACAGGGGTCCCAGACAGCTCCTAGGGCATGAACGTGCATGTGCATTGGGATGTGCACGCATGTGCGCCCGCGCGCTTCACCGCATGTGCGTGCATGTGCGGGCCCGCGCGGCCTCCCGAAGAGAGGTTGCACAGGCATGTGCGTGCATGTGCCGATGACAGATCTGCGATTCTCGAACACCTCCCGCATGTGCAGGCATGTGCGCGCATGTGCGTCGGACTGTGCGTGCATGTGCGTATGATGGATACATCAAAACACAGCGCACATGCCCCCGCACATGCCCGGGCACGACGTGCACAGTAGGAAGTCCATCCAAGAAGGACCGCACAGGCCTGGCACATGACTGGCACATGCCGCGCACATGCGCGCACATGACAGCGCAAAAACGGCCGCACATACACCCACCCAGGGGTATAGATGTGAGTGCGGTGTACCCTTCCTTCGATTTTGCCTTTTTGGGCCTCCTGGGAGGACCTCGTCGCCACCGCTGGATTCGCTCCGAAACCCTGGTCAGAACGCACCCCGGGAGAGGTCCGGGGAGTAGCGGTATCGGTACCTTCCCAGACATCCAGCCGCTCCAATTTGTTCGATGCATGGGACCCGGAAAGTCTGGACCACTTCCCAGGGGCCGGTATTTTTCGCACGGAGTCGTTGTTGGACGGTCCCGTGGCCCGGCGAGGGCCCCTGGAGGCCGAAAACGGCCACAAACCCGCTGCCCCAACTTGGGATGGGGTGGGATCCGAGCAGATGGGGTCGGAGGAACTCGCCGCATCGGCGATGCATCGGCGATTCACTGGCGACGTCGGCGATGCGTCGGCGACGTCGGCGTGGAGAAATTCGGGTTCCGCGTCGAGCCGCATCGTCGATGCATCGACGATGCGGAGGGATCCCCCGACCCCATCTATCAGGGGGACGTAAGACCTGGGTACAGGGGACTCGGAAATCCCCGACGAGGTCGTCAAAAAAATGACGAGGCCGAGCCTGCATTTTGACGAGGCCTCCCGCTGCAGACATCCCACGAAACTCCTCCTCGTCAAAATCCGAGGCGCGGTCGTCAAAAAACGACGGCGAACCCGAGTCCTGGCAAACCCAGGTCTTACGCTTCCCCGAATCTGCTCGGACCCCATCTGAGAGGCCTACCTTGTCGGAGCGTCGGATCTCTGGGACGTCCACGCCATCTTGCGCGAGAACGCCGCGAGCGGAGCCGAGAGCCAACGCCAGGAGGGGGGGCGGCCGACCTGGGAGTTTGGTTGCTCTCACCGTACGTAAGGACCACCTCCCAGAAATCGTTTCGAGCACCCAGAAGTTAGGAGGCAACTGCTGGGAGGTTTTCGTCGGAAAGATTAAGGAGAATCAAGCCCCATTTGGGGGCTATTACGCCGGAGTGGGCCTCGGAGTAAGCGGGATTAAACCGGATTAAGCGGGATTAAGCCAGATTAAGCGGGATTAAGCGAGATTAAGCCGGATTTCGGACCAGGGCAAGATCAGAATTTGACCTCCCAGGAGTTGCATCCGAACAGAAGAGTGTCGAAAAAGTGTCGAAACGGTGTCGAAACAGCGTCGGACGAGTGTCTCCCAGGGCCCGACACGCGAAAGCCTTCGAGTTTCGGCACTTTTCTGGTGCTCGAGATTCTTTCTGGTGATCCAGGCTGAAGCGTCGGATCTCTGGGACGTCTGATGGGCGTGTTTTCCACCACCACCACCATAAGTTGGAGAGGGGGGTCACCCTCCAGTGGCAACTTGCGTGTGGGTCAGGTCCGCGATCAGCGGAAGGATGGCGCACATTGATAATTTCCAGCCGAAGGCCACGGCGCTGCCGCCGCTCCTGAGCAAGACGGCGTTGCACCCTCCAGCGGCAGCGGTGCCATTACCCCTGAGCAGGACGGCTCAGGTAGGCAACGTCCGGTTCAGCGGCAGGCACCCTGTGTGTGCAGGCCAGGTCCGCGACCGCGCAGCGAGCAGCACCATTATCGCCGCAAGCCACGGCCGCGCCGTAGCTCCTGAGCAGGACGGTATGAGATCCTCCGGCGACGAACATCTGCGAGAAACCCAGTGACGCGGGAGCTGCCTGGCGTCGGTGCGAAGCGAGAAAGCCATGGCGCTTAAGCCACAAGTGGCTACGGAGAGCGCTCCGTTCACGCTTGAGCAACAAATGGCCTAAGCGTTCCGTTCGCGCGTGGCACGGAAAGGTAGCGTCGTCTTCACGCCAGGCTGGATGAGGAGGAGGAGGAGGAGGAGGAGGAGGAAGAGGAGGAGGAGGAGGAGGAGGAGGAGGAGGAGGAAGCGACAGAGGAGGAGGAGGAGGAGGAAGCGACGAGGCGGGACATTCGAAGTGCGGCACTTCGACTTGAATCGACACTTGGCAGGGGTGGCGGGAAGGCAGCGCGCGCTCCGACGGCCTGATCCGCCTCGTCGTCGTCCCCCTCCTCGAACTGCTCGACCTCGGCCTCCTCCGAGGCATCGTCCTCGAAGTCGTCCGAGCTGGCGGAATCCTCGCGAGTGGACGGTATCTGCTGCATGCAGCTGGTTTCGACCCCGCTCTCGACATGCGGTCGCTCCCAGCTGCATGCTGCTGATTCTCGACGAAGCCTGGTCCAAACAAGCGCTCCCGGGGTCCGCGCGGTTCTCCAAACGTGCGAATGCTTACGCAGGTTGATGGCTCCTGCTCTATATGTGAGGAGATTGGGCGAGCTGGGAGGGATCGACATAGAGAGAGAGAGAGAGAGAAAAAAAAAAAAAAAAAAAAAAAATGTTCACCGGCGTGGACGCAAAACAGATTAGTTGTGGCAGCGTGGATGTATGAGTTATGTGGTGCAACGTATGTGGTGCAAACTATGTGGTGCAGAATCAAGGTGTGGAGGAAACTATGCTGTGCAAGCTATGTGGTGCAAGCTATGTGACGTAAGCAATGTGGTGTAAGCTATGTGGTATAAGCAATGCGGTGCAAGCTCCGTCGTGTGAGCTATGTGATGTACGCTGCGCGGCGCAATCCTGGGGAGGGCACTGGGAGGCCAAAAATGGCCAAAAGCCTTCTGGACCCTTCTCCCGCACAGCCCTGTTCCCATGCATCCTTCGGTATGAGCATTTCCGTTCGCGACCCCAACGCTCCAAACCCCTTTCCTTGGGTTTAGTTTTGCGTCCCAGATCCATGGTTGGTGGTCCCAGGGCCCGGTAATAACGGGCCCCTTCAGCCCAAGCCGAACACCCAAACTGAAATTTATACTCTGACGAAGATCTCAACCATAGGCAGGTGTGAGCGCTGCAAGGCAATCCAACAAAGGAGGAGATGGAATCAGATGGAGCGCGGGGCCGCGAAGCGTGTGAGAGGTGTGCCAAAATTGGCGGGGTGGCGTGCGGACCCTGCCTCTGGCGCCTTCGGTGGAGCGCCGTGTGGCAGAATGGAGCGCGGCCGCCATGCGCACCCGGCCGCTGCGGCCTTCGATGGAGCTCCCTGTTGGGGCACCAAGCGTGCGAAGGGCTGGCAGAACCTTTACGAGCTGCCGCAGGCGGACGCTGCCTCTGGGGCCTTCGGTGGAGCTCCCCGTGGGGTCGCGAAACATGTGAGGGGTGTGCGAATTTGGGAGGGTATCGTATGCGGCCGCTGCCACTGAGACCCTCGGTGGAGATCCCTAGGTGGCCAGAAAGTGTGTGTGTGTGTGTATATGTATGTGTATGGTGTGTGTGCTTGTGTGCGTGTGTGTATCTGTGTGCGTGTCTGTGCACCAATTGCTGCACTCACGGCAGCACCGACGGCTTCGCCTACGGCATCACCAGCGGATGCACCAACAGTAGCCCCTACGACCTCACCGACACCAGCGCCTACGGCCGCTCCCACACCTGCCCCGACGAACGCACTCACGTCGGCGCCAACACCGATGCCCGATCGTGTGGGCAAACCAAGCGCATGCAATGCCGGGCATGGCGGCCTTACCTCGTATGGTCACAGCGGGCGGAACAATCTCGTTGCTCCGAAGATGCCGATAAAGGACTGTGCCGGAGCGGTGTGTAGACAATGCGGCACGTGCGCCTGTGTGCCAACAGCAGCGCCCACACCGGCACCGACGGCAACTCCGGCTACAACTCCCACGCCAGCACCGACAGCAGCACCGACGGCGTCGCCATACCGTCACCGACAGCTGCACCAACTGATGCACCCACGAAGGCTCTGACGGCAGCGCCCACGGCGCCACGGGCGACCGCGCCGACAACAGCTCCTACGGCAGCGCTGACAGCAGCCCCCACAGCTTCACTGGCAGCTGCTCCCAGCTGCCCCTACGGCCTCGCCCACAGCTTCACCGACGGCCGCGCCAGCGGCTGCTCCGACCGCAGCGCCCACGGCAGCACCCATAGCAGCACCGACGGCTTTGCCTACGGCGTTACCGATGGCCGCACCGGCTGCATCCCCCACTTCAGCGCCATCAGCAGCCCCCTCGGCCTCACCGACAGCTGCCCCTACAGCTGCCCCTACGGCTGCGCCCACAGCTGCACCAACGGCCGCGCCAACGGAGGCTCCGACAGCAGCACCCACGAACGCTCCGACGGCAGCACCGACGGCTCCGCCTACGGCGTCACCGACAGCTGCACCAGCAGCTGCTCCGACGGCAGCGCCCACAACAGCGCCCACCCCTGCGCCTGCGGCCGCTCGTGTGGGAAACCCGGGCACTCTCAACATTGGACATGGCGGCTGTCCCACGCATGCCTTCGGAGAGCGGTACCACTACATTGCCCCACCGATGTAGATGATCGTGGGCTTTCGGCCGAGAAGCTGAGCAGCGAATACGGCAGATGTGCAGACGTGACAGCACCGGCGCCCACAGCAGCGCCCCATCTGGCGCCCACGGCTCCCCTACAGCGTCACCAACGGCCGCACCGACTGCAGCCCCCACGGCAGCGCCAACAGCAGCGCCAACAGCAGCGCCGCCGGCTTCGCCGACAGCTGCTCCCCACGGCGCTCGCGGATGGCAAGTACGCCAACGCGTACCACACCACTATGGAGGTGACGGCGCCGAAGGACAAGGGCGTGCAGATCTTCACGGCCCCAATCGCCGAGAGCTCGACGTCAGGCTACTGGTGCTCAGGGGCTTGGCGAGCGAGCCCGGGATGCCAACTACGAGCGCATCCCGGGCCTCACGGGCCTCTTGGGGGGCCAACGATGGGGAGTGAAAGGCCTCTACCAAACCGGGGCCACCTAGCGGCTCTCTCTACCGCCCGCAGCGTCCAGGAGAGGGCTGAGTGAGCCGCCGCGGGGGCTGACGACACGGCGCGACGCGCCCGCGGGCGCGGGTGTGGGCGCCCGACCGGACGTCGCCGCAAGCGGTATGAAAAAAAACAACAACGTTTCCGAGTCTGCCCAGAAGCTGCTGGTGACGTCCTGCCCCCACGCGCTCCCGCCAACGCAGGAAGCGGAGGAGGAGGAGGAGGCGCAGCAGGGCCCCACGGGCCTCGAGGAGGGCCCCTCCTACAGCTGCGGCGAGTGGAAGAGCATGCTCACGCCGCCGAGGCTTGCATGGGGTTGAGCGAGGAGGCGGAGACCCTGGCCGCGCGTCCGAGGCAGGAGGCCGCGGGGCAGGCACCCCTACTCGGAAGCCATCGACGTCGCCGATGCCCCGCGGGCCGAGGCGCTGAACGACTGTGACAACCGGCGTGTCCGAGCGGCGCGTGGGCCTACAGTGACTACGCCTCCACCTACGGCAGGTCCGTGTCGTGTCGACCCTGGCATTGGTTCATGACACTGCGGGGATCCTTCCAGCTTGAACGATCCGCTGTTTCAGAAACGCCAGATCGTTCAACGATGGGCCGATTCTGGGCCACGGGCGGCGTGTAACCTTGAACGCCCGCGCGCGGGTCGCCACAGGTCGACACGACGCGAACCTGTCGTACATTATGGACCAGTGCACGTTCGGAGAGGCTCTGCCCCCTCGCCTCCCCTGCCTCGGTGGCCCCGGTGCAGGACTCCCTGGCTCGGGCAGGCGCCCGTGGCCCGCCGGCTGGCGTCCAGCCTTCCCCTCGCCTGCCCGGGCCAGCAGCGGCACGGCTGGTCTGGCCCGCTGGCGCTGCTCGGCACGCCGCCCTCCGGCCAGGCTCCTCCTGCACTCCGTGCCTGCACGGTGCGGGACTCCCTGGCTCTCGGGCAGGCGCCCGTGGCCCGCCGGCTGGCGTCCAGCCTTCCCCTCGCCTGCCCGGGCCAGCAGCGGCACGGCTGGTCTGGCCCGCTGGCGCTGCTCGGCACGCCGCCCTCCGGCCAGGCGCTTCCTGCACTGAACGTGCCCTTGTACGGTGTCGCTCGCTTCTGCTGCCCCCGCGCTTGCGGCCGGCCCGCCTCCCGGCCCGCCGGCCGCCCCCTCCAGGCTCGGGGCCCTGGTCTGGAGAAGCGTGCGCCGTGCTCTGCCTCCGCTGCCACCCGCCTCGGGCGCGCGCGGGCCCCAGGGCGGCTCTGCTGCCCGACCCCAGAGATCCCACGTCGTGATCTTTGTCAGCACGGGATCCCCGGAAACCTCAACCCGTTCGTTCCCCAGGACCAGCCTTCGTCCTGAGCCGCTTCCCGACGGCCCCGGGGCCCGGCGAGGGCCCCTGGAGGCCGAAAGCAGCGAAGAGCCTCCGTCGTGATTCTCGGGGAACAAAGAATGGCATAAACATAAATACTCTGAGGCCCGCGCGGATTTATTTCTCGGATCGGCGCTGGGGCCCCCCGGCGGCGCCTCCGGCGCCGCCCCTGGCGCGCTCCGCGCGCCAGGGAGGGGGGTCCAGCGCCGATCCCAGAAATCCGCGCGGACCTCCGAGGCTTTCTGTCTTCATGCCACTTCTTGCTCCCCTAGATGTGTTCAAGACGTTGGCGGTCTGGGTACCGCCTCCCTCCCCTGTGCGGCCTGCCGCAGCCCGCGGCCCGGACTCTGCCGCCCGGCCTCCTCGGCGCCCTCCCCCCCCCCCCCCCGCGGCCCCTGAACCGCGCGGCGGCCTCGCCTCCCCTCGGCCTGCTGGCCCTGCTCCAGCGCCTCGGGGCCTGGGCTGGCCTTGCCGCCTGCGCCCCCCGCCCTGCCCCTCCGCGCCTCGCCCCCCAGACCTCCAGCGCATCGAAAAGATCAGAACGGAGGCTCTTCGATTTTCGGCCTCGGGGGACTCTCGCCGGGCCCCGGGACCGTCAAAAGACGGCTCAGGATGAAAAACCGGTCCTGGGGCGTGGGCCGAGACTTCGGGGAACCGCGCATTGAAAAAATCGCGACGTCGGCTCTCTGGGCCTGGCTCGCAGGCCCCGCACCCGTACCTGGGTGTGGCCGCACTGCCATCGCCCGCGTCCTGCCTGTGCACCAACCCGCGGCCCGGGCTCTGCCACCTGGCCGGACGGCGTCTTCCGGCGCGTCGGGCGGTTCTGCCTCCACCCCTACTTCGCCACCGCCTCCCTCGACCTTCCTCCCGGCCCGCTCGGGGCTCTGCGTTCGCCTTCTGCGCACCAGCTCCCCCGCGGCCCTCGCTTGGCGACGGGGCCGCCATTCGGCCCTCCGGCCGCGCCCCGCCCCGCCCCCGCCGCCGCCTTGCCTGGTTTGCAGGCCGACCCCTCACCTTGAGGTGGTCCCGTGCTGGTCGCCGCTGGCCCGGCTGCCCGCGTGGGCCGCGCGTGGCCCGGGCACCCGCTGGCCCTTGGCGCTGCGTGCGCACCTTCGCCACCAGCCTTTGCTGGGTGCCGTCCCCCTGCACAGCCTGCTGCCTGGCAGCCCGCCTTGCCGGCTTCCCCCCTCCCCAGCCGCCGCCCCGCTGCTGCTGGCCCCCACCCCCGGCGCCGCCCTGTCGCGCGCCTGGCCCTGCTCTGCGCGGGCCCGGCTTCCGTCTCTTTCCCGCCACCGCCGGGCGCCTCCTCCTTCCCCCTCGTGCACCGCGGCTTACTTGGCGCTCGTTTGCCCTACCAATGCTTATCCGCCAGCGCAGTCCCTCTGCCTAGCCGCCGGCGCAAAAGTGTGTGTCTGTGTCTGTCTGTGTGTCTGTGTGTATATGTGTGTGTCTGTGTGTCTGTGTGTCTGTGTCTGTCTGTGGTGTGTTGTGTGTGTGGTGTGTGGTGTGTGGTGTGTGGTGTGGTGTGTGATATGTAGTGTGTGGTGTGTGGTGTGGAGTGTGGTGTGTGGTGCGTGGTGCGTGGTGTGTAGTGTCTGGTGAGTGGTGTGTGATGTGTGGTATGCGGTGTGTGGTGTGTGGTGTGCTTGTCCGCGTGTGTGTCTGTGTGTGTCTGTATGTGTGTATGTGTGTGTCTGTGTGTATGTGTGTGTGTGTCTGTGTGTGTCTGTGTGTCTGTGTGTGTCTGTGTGTGTCTGTGTGTGCCTGTGTGTGTCTGTGTGTCTGTGTGTGGTGTGGTGTGTGGTATGCGGTGTGATGTGTGTGGTGTGTTTGTCTGTGTGTGTGTGTCTGTGTGTGCCTGTGTTTGCCTGTGTGTGTCTGTGTGTGTGTGTCTGTGTGTGTCTGTGTGTGCGTCTGTGTGTCTGTGTGTGTGTCTGTGTGTCTGTGTGCGTGTCTGTGTATGCATCTGTGTGTGTGTGTCTGTGTGTGCTGTGTGGTGTGTGGTGTGGTTTGTGGTGAGTGGTGAGTGGTGAGTGGTGTGTGGTGTGTGGTGTGTGGTGTGTGTGGTGTGTAGTGTGTGCGTGATGTGTGGTGTGTGGTGTGTGGTGTGTGGTGTGTGGTGTGTGGTGTGTGGTGTGTGGTGTGTGGTGTGTGGTGTGTGGTGTGTGGTGTGTATGTCTGTCTGTGTCTGTGTCTGCGTCTCTGTGTCTCTGCGTCAATGCGTCTCTGTGTCTCTGTGTCTCTGTGCCTCTGTGTCTCTGTGTCTGTATATCAGTGTGTCTGTGTCTGTGTTGTGTATATGTGTGTGTGTGTGTGTCAAAGGCGTGCCGAAATATGACTGACGATCATGGTGATGATTATGGTGAGGACGATGATGAAGACGAAGAAATGACAATGATGATGGAGATAATGTTGATAATGCGGATGCTCGTAATAATGGTGATAAGGATTGTAAGGATGATGGAGACGAAGAGAACAATGGTGATGATAGTGACGCTCATGACATGCGGAGAGCAGAGGCATGGAACGGAGGGGGAGGAGGTGAGGCGGAGCGCGGCCCTGCGGATTCGAAGCGAAGATCCAAAGCCGCAGGATGGCTGGGAAAAAACATATCGTCGGCGAAGGCCCCTGAGAAGGGGCACCGGGGAAGGCCCCGGAAGGCCGAAAAGGGCCAAAGACCATCTGGGCCCGCCTCCCTCGTGGCTCCTTCCAAGACATCCTGCAACATGGTGTTGTTCAGTCCGCGGCCCCAGAACAAGGGGTAGTTTTGCGTCCCTGATCCTTTCGCTCGAGGTCCTGGGGCCCGATACAACTGGCCGCGCAGCGCGACATCGAGGAAACAGATCACAGATGGGAGAGCATATACCGTGGGAAATGTGTGTCTGCCCCCTTGGCATCTCCCTTCCCTCTTGTCTTCTCCTCTCCGCCCGTGCAGCAATCAGCCTCGCCCGTGCCCCAGCGCCGCCCGCCCGCAGCTCGGATCCGAGACGCCGCCGACCAACAGCAAAAAACAGTGCTCGCCTCACCGGCGGAGAGAGTGAGTGTCCTTGAACCGGTCCCCATCCCCAGCGGCGTGGCCTGGGCCCCGCTGACCGATTTACCACCCTAAGATGGGGATATAGGTCGTTCCTCTCGGGCTTCGAGGGGTGTATCCCCCACTGGGGTGGTAATTTGGTGGGGGTCTCGAAGGGGATGGGGATGGGGATGGGGGTCGGTCAAACGATGCTGAGCGAAGAGGGGGGCGACGGGGCTCCTCCGAGTACGACTCGCTGGCGGAGCTGGAGGACCTCGAGGAGGAGCGCCGCCGCGCCGGGCGGCCCGCAGAGCTGGAGGACCTCGAGCCCTGGGGTGGGCGGGGCGCGGCAACGCGGCCGAGGCTCGAGTCGGGCATTCGCAGGCCTAGATCTTGACACCAACGCCAGTATTGGCGGTGCTCCTCCACCGAGGGGAGAAGATCCCAATCTCGGCGATGCTGGTAATATTCTGGCTTCCAAGGTGACCGAAAGATTACCCTCCACACCGAAATCCAGGGTCATCTCCCCCCTGTGGAGGCAGCCCCGTGTCTTGGTGTTGGTGCCCATTTCCAGGCCTCCCAGGCATGTCCCTCTACGAGTCTTTTTAGCATTTTTGTTGCTATTTGGGGATATGTTTGGACTATTATGTATTTCTCCTCCCAGATCCGCCTGCAGGAGGACATGCCCGACCTAAGCCGAGGCGCCCGCGGCGACGGCGGGAGCGGTGGCGGCGGCGGCGGCGGCGGGCGGCGGCAGCAGCGGCGACCGGCGGCTGGCGGCGGCGAGCGGCGGCCGGCGGCGGCGGCGAACCCCCGCCACCGCAATGGCCTCGGGCTGCGCGCTGCCGCCCGAGCGCCTGGCGCGGGAGGGTGGGCGGGGGGGGGAGCTCGCAGGCGGGCGGGCGCGCGGGCGCCAGCAGGGCGGCGCCCCAGTGGGCGTCGGCGTCGTCGCCGCCGCCATTGTCGTCGTCGTCGTCGTCGTCGCCATCGTTGTCGGCGTCGTCATCGTCGCCGTCGTCACCGTCGTCGTCGCTGTCGGCGTCGCCGCCGCCGCCGTCGCCGACGCTGCCGCTGCCGCGCGTCGGCGTCGTCGCAGCGAGTACCGCGGAGGGGTCCTGGTCATCCCAGTCGTCGCCCCCGCCGCAGCCGCCGCCGCCGCCGGCAGAGCAAGCTCCGCCTCCTCCGCCTCGGCCTCGGCCTCCTCCGCCTCTGTGCTTCAGTGCTGGCCTGGCTTCGGTACGCTGGAGTCCGAGCTCCCGAGGGCGGGGGCCCCGAATGGCTTCTGAAACAACGCTCCGTGCAAAAAACGGGACCTCCCTTCCTTTGCAACCTGCCCGTCGGGACCCCCACTCTGCAGGGGGAGCCTTGATGGTCTAGAGCCTCATTGGCAATATTGTCCGTAAAAGTATGCATGACAGCGGTCACGTTGGTGAAAACGATGGCAATGGATGGTGTCAATTGATGGTGTCGTTCCTGCTGTTTGCAATTTGTTGATGGCCATAGGTGGCGTCACTCCTACGGTACCGCGACGGGTGGCAATATCTGGTCCGCTACGGAAGTCGGAGATGAAAATATCATGTTGCTGAGTGCGTATGAAAACATGACATCGGCGGCGCGGGTCATAGAAACGACAACTTCGATGATGGTGACGAAACGACGGTGAAGGCAACGACGATGATGATGGTGATGGTGATGATGATGATGACGATGGTGATGACGATGATGGCGATTATGATGATGATGATGATGATGATGATGATGATGATGATGATGATGATGGTGATGATGATGACGATGATGATGACGACGATGACGCAGGCGATGATGATGATGCTGATGATGATGCTGATGATGATGATGTTGATGATGATGGTGATGACTGTGGTGGTGGTGATGATGGTGATGATGATGAGGCTGACACTGATGATAATGATGATGATGATGATTTCGATGACGATGACGACGACGATGATGTCGATAATGACGATATCAATGACGATGACGATGATGATGTCGATGATGATGATAATGATGATGACAATGATGGTAATGATGACGATGATGATGATGCTGGTGGTGGTGATTGTGATGGTAATGGTGACGCTTGTGATCATGATGATGATGGTGATGATGGTAGTGCTGGTGATGGTGATGGTGATGGTGATGATGATGGTGATTGTGATGGTGATGGTGACGATGATGATGCTGATGATGATGCTGATGGTGGCGATGATGATGATGATGATGATGGTGGTGATGATGATGATGCTGATGATGATGATGATGCTGATGATGATGATGATGATGATGGTGATGATGGTGGTGGTGGTGATGATGATGGAGACCTCGCTACTCGACCTCTCCCTCGTCCTACGGCAGGATCGTGTCGTGTCGACCCTGGCGTTGGTTCCGGACACCGTTGGGAGCGTTCAGCCTTGAGCGATCGGCCGTTTCCGAGACGTCGGATCGTCCAACATCGACCGATTCTGGGTCGCCGGCGGCGTTCCACGTTGAACGCCAGCGGCGGGGTCGCCGCCGGTCGGCACGGCGCGAACCTGCCGTAGAAGCCGCCAGCGCCGACACAAGCGCGCTCCACTACTCGCATAGTCACTACTCGCACATGGCCCGGATCCGCGGCGGGGAACTCACGATCCATTTCATCGAAGCAAGCGCGTGTGTTTTCTCACGTTTACGGGTACAGTGCGGGCGCGGCCGCAAGAAGCCCTCGCAAGAAACCCAGCCCTGAGGACCCGTGCGCGAGGTGCACCTGAGGGGAAGCCTGAAGCACCCCGAACGCAGCAGCTCCTCCAACGGCCAGGGGAAGCCGCCGCGCAGCGCGAGGAGCGAAGAAACCCAGAGTGCCCTGACGAAAAGCATATGGCTTCTTGATGCGCACCCCCACTGTGGGCACTTTGCGAAGATAGCAGGACGCGCTCGGTGGACCGCATGGTGGGCCTGTTTTCCACCACCACCACCATAAGTAGGAGGGGGATGGGGTCATCCTCCTGCTCCTCCTCCTCTTCGTCCTCCTCCTCCTCCTCGTCCTTCACCCCCTTCCCCCCCTCCAACTTATGGTGGTGGTGGTGGAAAACAGGCCCATCACCGCAGCAGCAGGGAGTGCGTCCCCAGTCGCCGCGGCCAGCCTCTGGGGATCGACGTTTCTGCTGCGCGTGCGCGCCAGGGCGCCGGCGGAGGCCTTCGGGGACCGAGGCGCAGGTGCGGGGAGCGCGTGCCGGAGCCAGGAGAGCGCCCATGGATCGGAGGCCAAGGCCGAAGACGCGGACGGGAGGCGAGAGGCGCGCGCGGGGCGCACAGGGACATACCAATACGATATGTCCTCCTTGGAGGCGCGCGTCCGACCCGAACGTGTAGTGCACCCATCTTGTAGTAGATCGTTTCCCGAGCGGTGTGGCCAGAAAGCGCCCGCCACGGCGCATATACTACAAGATTTCTCGGTGCGCGCGTCGCCCCTGGGGGGGCGACGCACACATAGTATTACTATGTTGGCGCGCCGCCGAAGCAAGGCCGAAGACGCAGACGAGAGGCGAGAGGCACGCATCCGATCAGCAGAAGTTGCAGGCGTCTGGCCTGGACCCCATGACATCGTCCAGGAGAGGGGCACGAGGCCCAATCCAGTCGAAATCGCTCCACGACCTCCCACTGTATCCATCGAGTGAAACTTTTCACCCCAGATCTGTCTCTGACGGTCCCAGGGGCCCGAACACGGCCCGGGGAGGCCGAAAAACAAAACAACAGCACGGTCAAGGCGGTCATGAGGGACGCGTGCCCTGCGCTCGCCTTGCCCGCCTCGACTTCTAAGAATCAGAGCGGGTCATACGGACGCATTGCCCAGCACCCCCCCTTCCCGCAACCCAGTAACCCAGCAACCCCAACCAAACAAAAAAAAAACAAGAAACGATTCTCTCCTTAAGGCCTCCGGAGGAAAACCAAAGCGGAGACCGATTTCTTCTCTGGCGAGGTTACTGTCCTACGCGACCTTAGAAAGAATCCGAATAAGGAGTCCCTAAATAAGGATCCCGAGCGATAGAGCGATTTCCAAGCAAATCGTGAGAAAGGCCAGAGCGAAAACGCGAGCCTTGAGGGTTGGAGGCGCGAGGCCACAGTAAACTGCGAGCAAATCCCACGCGAGCGAGAGCGCGATCCCTGCATAGATTATAAGGAACGCGCGCCGCGAGGCGCAGGAAAGCGGGAGGCGGCCCGCGCGCGCATGTTGCCCGCCCGCGCGCGGTCCAGGGGCGCCGTCGCAGAATTCGTGCCCGCGCGCAGCGCCCCTCTCCAGAGTGCGCGCGCCCTTACGGTGGCGTTGTGCGCCCACCACCACCACCAAAACCACAACAACAACAACAACAACAATAACAACAACAAAAACAAAAACAAAAACAAAAACAAAAACAATAGTAACAACAACAAAAACAACAACAACAATTACTAGCACGTGGGGACACACCGTTCTCACCAGTGCCAGGGTTTTCATAGGAGGCGGGCAATACCCCCACTTTGTGGGGGGGCCGGTTCAAGCTCTACCAAATTTCCAAACGACTCTTCGCCACCACCCACACCCAGCTTCCCGCCCTATGACGTTCGGACACTTCACTTCGTGGCATGCGGACGACCGTGGCTACTATTCAGGGCCCCGCGGCCGACGACGACGGCGTGCGCGCGCGAAGAAAAAACGAATGTGTCCCGCATGGTATTATTTGACAGGGATGATGGCCCTGGCAGGTGCGCAACCGTTGTTGCAGAAGTTCGAAAAAGTTGCTCGCAAAAGCCCGTTTGACAGAAATGTTTAAAAAGTGTTGGGTTTCCTACGAATCCGCAAGAGCGCGCGGGATGAAATTTTGACATTTTTTTTTGAAAAACCATTGGTTTTTTGATGTTTTTATGTTAAAATCGCTACGAAAACTAAGGTTTTGGAAGGATTTCGTCTTGCGCGCGCGAATGTCCACTTTACCTTATTTTTTGCAAGGGATTCTTGAAGTTTGGTTATGTTAGAACAAGAAATGTCCACTTTAGCTTATTTTTTGCAAGGGAAAACCGATCGTAACAACACAACCGGATCCGGACCAACCCGTTTTGCCTGAGACTTCCTCACGAAAATGATGAAAATGAGGCTGCGGCCTAGGCGCGGCGGGGGGGTCGTGCACCAGGGGTCCCCAAAATAATATTTTTAAAGTAATAAATTCAACAAAACAACAACAATTATTTTACCGTGGCTCAGTGTTTCTCACCAGTGCCAGGGTTTTCATAGGAGGCGGGCAATACCCCCACTTTGTGGGGGGGCCGGTTCAAGCTCTACCAAATTTCCAAACGA